GTAGTCCCCCAGCTCACAACTTTATTGTTTGTTTTATAGGAGGATCATTGTCAGAAATGGGAGAATAAATTCAGTAGGTATGTTTTTATGGTGTATAATCACCTGAATATGAATATATTTGTTGTTACCTAGACTGAGACCATTCTATCTAACAGTAGCCGCAAGTCGCCTTCAATGGAATGTTGCCATTATCTACAGTACTCAGAAGGGACAAACCAAACACTGGCTCCTAGATAGGGTTTTTTTTCTGCGTGTTTTCAGCCGATCCTCACACTGGACCTTTAACACCAAACAGCAATAAACAGTTAAATAACCAGCAGTGAGACATAAGGAGCATTTAGCTGCTAAATTCCCCCATTTCCACCGTAATATATTGTCCATGTTCTAAATGTAGTTCCTCAAAGGTTCACTCCCCTCCTTTCAAAATTTATGCTTAGTTTAATTACCGAAGATATCTTTAGTAAACAAAAATATGTAAATAAGTTATACGTAGTTAAAGCAGTGTCGGGAACCCCCACTAGGGTCGCAACGCTCCAATAAGGTTCAGGCCTTCTAACTCTGTTAATGTCTAATAGAAAGAGAAAAATATTCAATTGTCAAAGAGCATATTAAGATTTGATTGATCAAATACAACAGAATTGTATAAAAGTTTCCCCTAACAAGGAAAAACTGTTCCAAAGATTTATTGCTTGCACAAACTCCTGCAGCAGGACTGACCAGCGACTCACTTGTGGCTCCTTTTTAGAGGCCGACATGCTAAATGGTCGAAGCATCCACAGTCGCACTGACCTATGTCGAATGGTGTGTTCGTTTGGTGTTGGTGTGTGTCATCAGGTTGTGCAAACAAGGGAGTGGTTCGGTGGCTAATGTAGACTCCACAGACCAACAAGATATAAATGATTAATAGCTCCTTTTGAGTTTAATTCTAGTCTTTACTGAAATGGCGAATAATAATTTATGTATCAATGTTTCTCTTTAACACCCAGCGGACAAATCCTTCACTACGCATATTTATTACGTGCTATATAGGTTACTGTAGAACGTGCGACGAAACATAGAAAATGGATTTCAGATCTCAAAGTGATTATGTTTATATGCTGCAGCTCTATAGATCAGTCACGGTCAAACCAAACACAGAAGCGCTCCGAACTCGCATGAGCGTCTGAGGGAAGAAGTACAGGATAGTTTTGGGACTACATCACATTACACTACATTAGCATCACATACACATCATACTACAACGACATAACAGCACCGAGTACCTACATGCAGTGACTACACATACACACATAGCACTAACATACAACGGGCTTGGTGATATGGCTCTCCCACGTCTTTGCGACTTCTTCTCTTCCTTCACTTCATCCGTTTGATATCTCCTGATCGATTCATGCGTTGCTTCAAAGCCATTCTTGCGCTTACTGGTTTAACAGTTTGAGCATCAGATGGCTGTGTGTGTTGGATGATGGGTGTGCTGGGGTTTTTGTAGTGCTTCCTTCGAAACATGGCTAGGACAGTCCGACGCTGTTTTTTTTGTTTTTATATCAGCCGTGTTATATCATGACATTAGTTTTGTTGTTTGTTGCTAGGGCTCCAGAGAGCAAGCCCCATGTCATGATCGACCAACGGTAACACTGCAGCATTTGGAAGGATCAGCTACTAGTAGTTTATACTTATGGTTCGATTTTTAAGTGTTTGGCTGGAATTGTTCTGATGCGTTTTATAGGACAAAGAGAACAGATAAGCGGAGACAAACGTAGCAGGTCAATATTCAACCAATGGAGAATGATATATGGTTATGTATAATTCGAGGTGAATGGTTCTCGCCATAATGGCTTTAGGTGCGAACAGGTACTCTTGCAGGTATGCTGATATCTTGTGTTATTTTGACATAATTCAAATGATGATGCGAGGTGCAAGATCGAGTTAACTGTTATTTATAATTACAGACATCCTTTATAATACATAGGGCAGCGACAAAAGCTTGCATTATGAGTCCTCTCTTATCTGAATAGGTATGATGTAACTATTTAACGCATGATACCAAGACGTTCACTATTTTCGTACTTGTGCAGTTGTATTATCCATTATAGTAAGAATTGACATGTGAGGTTCTTAATCAGCTTATAATGTAGTTGCATCTCTTCATTGCAACCTGATGTGTTTCTTTGTGTGCGAGTTATTTCAGCCTCGTCAGATGCTTCAGATCCTGGCAGTATAAAAAATAAATGACTTTTAAGACCATTTATGGTGAATGAACAGTTTATAACAAGACGCCATTTTATTAAGCAGAGTATGTTTTGTATCACCCAGGACATTATTGGTATTTTGTACCATGTCAGGTGGTGCTAATTTTCATTAAGTCTAATTCAATATGTATTGGTGACATTTTAGAGTTTATTTGAAGTCGAAATCCAATTATAGTCTATGCATATTAAATTTATTTACAAGATTTCGAAGGAACGGTCTGTTAAGTACGTAAGGATAATACTCGTTCTCGTTCCTATTTAAGATTAAGTTGTAGATGTATGGCACAACTTCAATGAATCTTTCTCCAATGGGTTTAGTTGTCATCATTTCTTGTGGCTGGCATCTTGCTTTTCCTGGTATCAAATATATTTTAACGGGGGTCAGTTAATCCAATAGGTCAATTAGTGTTATAACCTGTCCATTTACAATGATATTTTAGACATGAAATTACACTACATTATTTGTTTTTAACCTGCGATACACTGAAACATTCAATCAGCAAACAACAAGCAGGTGGATCAGATTGGCCATTAATAGCATCTCGTAATCAGCAGCAGATTAGTATTCATATTGCTGA